TCCGAGGCGCAGCAGCTGGCAAGGGATGTCCAGGCGATCGAGGAGGCACTTGCCGACGAGGACGTTCGCGAGGCGATGAGGGTGGTGGAAGCCAAAATCCAGCTTGCACCGGACAGGAAGGCGCGAGACTGCCTCCCCGGCCTCTTCCCCCGCGCGGCCTCGCAGCCGCACGTCCCGCAGACGCAGCCTCTCAGCGACGACGTCGACCAATTTGTCGCTGAGGTGGGGAAGGCGTACGCCCGCGCACCGCGCAACCGCGGGGCAGGCCCAGGGGGCTCGCGGGGGGAGCACTGGGCATGGATGCCGCAGCACGGGCCCCAGTGGGAGGAGTTCACGAGAGTCATCCTGCGGCTCCAGCTCGGCACTGCCCCAGCCCAGGCTTTAAAGGCGTGGCAGAGTGCCCGGATCCTGGCGGGGGACCGTCCAGAAGACGACAAGGTCCGGCCCTTGGCCCTAGGGATCCTCCACCGCCGTCTGGCGTCCAAGGCAGTGGCCCGCATCTTTCGGGGCCGGGTCGCCGGAGCCCTGGGGGAGGCCGAGTACTCTGTGGGGAACACGAGAGGCGCGGAGGTCATGCACAAGGCGGTGTTGCTTGACCTCGACAGCCGGCCGGCCTGCTGCGAGCTGAGCCTGGACGTTAGCAACGCCCACAACGAGTACGACAGGGCTGTCGCCACGCAGGCGGTCCAGGAACTCGTGCCGGATCTGCTGCCATGGGTGCGGGTCGGGCTTGGCACCGCGACAGAGCACGCGCACGTGGCGCGCGACGGTACCCGCACGCCGCTTCCCAAGGAGCGCGGGGGCGACCAGGGCGACGCACTCACCAATATGCTGTTCCCGCTGACCTACAAACGCGTTGCGCGTGCAACCGAGGAAGCGGCAATGGTAGAGGGCGCGGCGGCGCGAGGCTACAGCTACCAGGACGACCTCGAGGTGGTCTGCGCCCCGGAGGCGGCGGGGCAGGCCGAGAGCGCCTTCGCTGCCGCATGTGCGGCCGCGGGCCTCCGCGGCAACCCGACTAAAACCAAGGTTAGCCCAGGGCGGCTGGTGGCGGCGGCCGCGCTCCTGGCAAAGCGGGAAGTCGAGCCGCGCGCCCTGGTGCTCCGCCACGGAGCGCTCCCGCCTGTCCCCGCAGCGCCGGCGCAGGCCCACGCGGCGAGCAGCCTGCTGGCGGAGGGGAGCCCAGAGGTCGCGAGCCTTGTCGGCGACCGCGGGGCGCTTTACGGGCGGCTGCGGATGCTGCGCGCGGCAGGCCTGAGCAGCCAAACCGCGCTGGCCCTGCTCCGGACGCGGACAGGTTCGGACTACGTGTTCCTGGCGCGAACACGTGGCATCCCAGAGACGGAGGGGGCGGCCATGGACGCCGCGCTGGTATCCGAGGTGCAGCAGATCCTCGGGCAGCCGCTCGCTGACGCCACCCAGAGGAAGGCCTTCGTGGCTGCGGCAGCAGGCGGACTGGGGTTCCAGAGCGTGGCGCTCACCGCGCCGTCGGCGCAGGCAGCCTCCTGGCACCTCTGCCTGCCGCACTGCCTCCGCAGGCTGGAGTACGCAGGGGCCAGCGCCCTCGCCGGGGCCAGCCCCTGGGCGAGCACCTGCCTCCCCGCCGCGACACGGGTCCTCCAGGCGGCCCTCGACGACCAGACCGCCCACGTCGGCGACGAAGGGCTGGCAGCTACGCAGCACACGCTGGCTTCGGCCCCGCTCGCTGCGGCTGCCCGCCGCGTCCCGCACGAAGCGGCAGCCGACCCACCCGCAGCGGCGGCCCTGCTCAGCTCCGGGGTGGTCGGCGCCAGCGGCTGGCTGCAGCCGCCCACGCGGCCGTGCCACCGCCTGACAGACGCGCAGTTCGGAATCGCCATCCGGACGAGGCTGCACCTGGACTTGCCACCCTGCGCAGGCTTCTGCCAGCACCGCCACCCAGACGGCAGAGTGTGCGGGGCGGTCTTGGATCCGAAAGGGGTTCACGCTCACGGGTGCGCCGTTGGTGGCTGGCGCGTGCGCCGGCACGACGCTGGGTGCGCAGCCCTGGCCGAGTGGTACGAGGAACAGGGGTGCACCGTTCACAGAGAAGCACCGGTGCCCCACGCGGCGCCCGCGAATCCAGAAGCCCGCATGGACTTGGTCGTCCACGCGCCTGGGGTGGCGGCGCCGATACTGGTCGACCTCACAGTGGTCAGCGCCCTGACCCAGGACGCCCTCGGCCTCGGCGCGCCGCGCCGCGAGGGCGCTGCCGCGGCGGCCGCGGAGCGCCGCGAAAGAGCGCGCTATCCAGGAGCGCCGGTGGTCCCGTTCGTCATCGAGGACCACGGCCGCCTGGGAGAGGACGCGGCGGCGCTGCTTCGCCGGCTGGCCCCGGCGGACGCGACGGAGCGCTCGGCGGCGATCCGCCGCCTGCACCAGGCCCTGGGGAGCGTTCTCCAGCGCCACGCGGCCGATGTCGTGCTGGCGGCCACCCAACACCGGCCCTGGCGCGAGGCCAGGCCCGGGCGAGCGGCCGGAGGAGGAGGAGGCTGAGCAGCCAGCCCGGGGCGAGGAGCGCGGACAGGCCAGGCAAGGAGGGGCGCGGACGCTAGAGGCGGCGGAGCGGCGGGGGCGGGGAGCGGCGCAGGGGCGGCGGAGGAGGAAGAGGAGGCGGAGGCGGAGGCGGCAGAAGCGGAAAACGCCGCTCGGAGCTGCTGGCCAGGGCGGAGAGCAGGCGGCGGCTTGGGCGGCGGCGCCGGCGGCGGCCGGAGGCGGACGGGGGCGGCGGCGGCGGCGGCGGGCACGGGCGGAGGGGGGCGGCGGCGGCGGCGGGGGCGGCTTCGGCGGCGGCGGGCGGAAGCGGAGGAAAGAGGCGGCGGCAGGGGCGGAGGAGGCGGCGGCGGCGGCGTCGGCTGCGCCGCCGCCGCCAGCCAGGCTCCCTCCACGCCGGGGCTGCCAGCCGCCGCTGCCCGGCCGCCGCGCGTAGCGCGCGGGGCCGGGCGCGCCGGGCGCGCGGGGCGCGCGCGGCGCGGCCGTCCCGGCTGCCCCTGGGCCCCCTTCGGACTCGGGGGCCCCGTGGCCGTGGAGCACGGAGGAGGAGGAGGAGGAAGGAGGAGGAGGAAGAGGAGGAGGAGGAGGAGGAGGAGGAGGAGGAGGAGGAGAGGAGGAGAGGAGGAGGAGGAGGGGGAAGGAGGGAGGGAGGAAGAGGAGGAGGAGGAGGAGGAGGAGAGGAGGAGGAGGAGGAGGAGGAGGAGGAGGGGGAGGAGTAGGAGGGAGGAGGGAGGAGAGGAGAGGAGGAGGAGGAGGAGGAGGAGGAGGTGGAAGGAGAGAGGAGGAGGAGGAGGAGGAAGGAGGAGGAGGAGGAGGAGGAGGAGGAGGAGGAGGAGGAGGAGGGTAAAGGCGTGAGGAGGAGGAGAGGAGAGGAGGAGGAAGGAGGAGGAGGAGGAGGGCGGAGGAGGAGGAGGAGGAGGAGGAGGAGGATGAGGAGGAGGAGGAGAAGGAGGAGGAGGGGGAGGGAGAAGCAGGAGGGAGGAGGAGGAGGAATCTACAAACTTGCCCAATCTCCCAGCATCGCCACCGGAGCCACGTGGCCCACCGCCAGCAGGCCCAATGGGCCAGGCCCGCGCGGCAGTGGCATCACGAGGGCCCTCCGAACACCCATGGGCCCGGCTGGCCCCGCTGGCCGACGCCAGCTCTGAGTGCCCATACCCCTAGGGAGGTCGTTGGGAGGAGGACTGGCTATGGGTATGGGTGCGGGTTGTCGGACCCTGGGGAACGCTCCCGTTCGAGCGGGGACCCCCATCCGACAACACGCACCCATAGCCCTCTCCGACCCCCCTACGGGTATGGGTGTTTCGTTGTTGGTTCGTCGTGACTGGCAGCGACAGCACCCGCAGCCGCGCGCGACAGCGCCATGTCTTGAACGCACCTACGACTCGAGCGCGCTGAGTCGGATCTTTGAGGCCGTCTGACAATCCCTTTCAAGATTTGACCAAGACTCCGCCCTCATCCTCCCGTCGCAGCCCGTCCCACGCCCCCTGGCAATCGGTGGACAACCTGACTCCATTGGCTTGCCGGGCTCGCTGCTGCTCGGAGTGCAAATCCTCGGCTCGCAGCCTTTTGGGAAGGGGGTGGGTCCCTTGGGGCCCCGCGGGGGCTCTCCTGGGCTGTCGTGGGCGCTCCGTGGACCGTCTTGGGGCCCTCTTGAGCCGTCTTGGGGCCCTCTGCAACCGTTTTTGGGAACCCCTCCGGCGCCTCTTGGGCAGTCAAGGATTCTGTCGAGGCCGAAAAAGCGAACGTGATGAGAATATACGGTGCCAGTCCCTGGCGCAATTAGCCAAAGGTCGAAGATCAGCACGTCCCGTTGCTCGGGAAGTGACGCCCCCGCGCTGCCAGTGGGCCGTATGGCCCTGTGCAGTATCGGCTGCAACGCATGCTTGTCCCTGCGTCGTTCTGCACCAGCCTGCGGTTGCTGCAGTTTCCTGTGGGCACACGCGGACCCGCGCAGTCAGTGTTAAAACGCGCACGCCCGTCTCTGTCGGGCTCAACCGCGCGCGCAGGGGAACAAAATTCGGCGGTGGACCAACCTCCCGTTAGTAAACCTCCCTTTAGTGAAAACGGCCCAAGACCGAAACCGACGGACCTGGACCCGCAGAAATGACGGCCGCGACGCCCTCTCGCGAACCGAAAACGGCCAATTCGCTAATCGACGTGTCAGGGTAGGAGGTCGATCAACCTCCGAAAAATACGCTGCCCAACCCGCCCGCCCCGAGATTGTCGGCTCGATCTGCTGGCGTGCGGCCAGGAATGCGTGGAGAGGCAGAGCCTGCAGGAGAAGGAAGCCTGCGGATCAGACTCTAGCCAACTCTGCCCAGAAGAAGGGAACGGTGCGGGAAAAGGAGCAGGGCGGGGGAGGGAGGAACAGAAGGGAGGGGATCAGCCTCTACCTTATCTGCCTCATCATACCTCCCTCTCCTCCTCCTCCTCCTCCTCCTCCTCCTCCTCCTCCTCCGCCTCCTCCTCCTCCTCCTCGCCAAGCTGGCCTGCTCCAGGGGCCCTTTGAGCTCCTCGAACAGCACTTGCAGCAGCATCACCGAAGCGGCCTCGTGGTTCCACTCCTCGCACCTCGAGGAGGCGGGCGAAGAAAGAAGGATATGTAACTATCCGTATCCGTTCCTGCTGGTGCACCTTCTCCGCCAAGGTACAATCGCATCAGCAGGGAACGAGGACGAGGAGAACGCGGAACGAGACCAGAAGGTGTAGAGATGAAGGCAGGGGGGGCGGCGGGAAGCACATGGAAGCGAATCTCGGTTTCCTCCTAAGTGTCCTTTCTCCTCCTGCTCCTCGCCTTGCCCCCATCACCCGCCTCCACACTCTCCCCTCCCGCAACAGCATAAGGAAAAAGGAGCGAGCGCATGATACGCTCGTTTTTTTTCCTTATGCTGTTGCTGATGTTCCTTGCCGTCCTGCTCACACGCCTCGTCCCCTCCTTCCTTCGTCAGCCCCTCCTCGTCCTCCTCCTCCGTCCCCGTGCCGAAAGTGTACATGGCCCCAGTGTGGAATATTCGGGGAGGTCCCACGAGGCAGCCTGTAAGGAAACGAGGAATCTCCGAATACGCCTCCCTTGAGCTCAATGGCGTTTCGCCACCGGGGCGGCACAGGCCAATAGGTTGCCGGGCGAGCCTCCAAGCCCGAGCAAATGCCCCTCACTCCATGCACGGGTAATGCGGCATGTTCCACCCTTCGTCCTGTCCCACGTGCTGTGCCTACCCCAGGCAGCACCTATCCCCTTTCCCTTCCCACCTCGTTCGGCCGCTCCTACGCCCAACCCCCGGTTTGCCCGCTTCGGTGCCATCTCTTACCCCCCTCCCGATGGTCAACAATGCTGCCAGCGTGGACCCCGCGCAATGGGGAACGGCAATGTGGAATAGGCAACTAGCCGGCCAGCCGCTTCTGCCCTGCCACTAGTTGGCACGCATCATCATCTTGATCATCATGTCTGGGCCGCGAGCTGTAGGCAAACTCTGGGGCCGCACTCTGTCAGGCAAGATCACGGGAACTCTGCTAGGACTGTGGACTAACGTCATGTCCCGCATGCCCAACCAGCTCGCGGTCCGTTGATTCGGCCCGCACGGCTCAATCATCGCGGCGGGATTCCTGGCATCCGCCGCGTCGCACCTGTTATGTTAGGCTAAGGCCGTCAGCACCGAAACTCTGCCAGGACTGCGGGCTAAGGCTATGCTCCGCGTGCCCAACTAGCCTGCGGCCGTTGTCCTGGCCAGCCCGACTCTCGGCAAGATTCCTGGCACCGGCCGCGATGCACCTGCATCAGCGAGGGCCGCCAGCACCGAAACTCTGCCAGGACTGCAGGCTAAGGCTATGCTTCGCGTGCCCAGCTGGCCTGCGGCACGTTCTTTCGCGCAGTCCGACTCAACGAGCGCGGCGGGAATTCTGGCATCGAGGGCCGCGCGCTGGCACGAGCGATCTGGGAAATTATGCTGAGATTGCGGGCATCAGCTGCGCTTCGCATGCCCAAGTAGCTCGCGGCCCGTCGCGTGGACCAGGCTGACTCCACAGTCGCGGCACGCCACACTTGCTAGGCTAGGGCCGACAGCACTGGAACTCTGCCAGGACTCTGGGCTAAGGCTATCTTTCGCATGCCCGACTCGTTCGCGGTCGCCTTTTTCGGCCCTTGTTCCGGCTGGTCCGTCTCAACAAACACGGCTGGAGTTCTGGCATCGAAAGCCGCGCGTTGGCAGGCGAAGCCTCGGGAATGTGGCTGGGACTGCGGGCGAAGCCTATGCCTCGCATGCCCAGCTAGCTCGCGGTCGCTTGTTCTGACCAGCCCGACCCAACAATCACGGCAGGATTCCTGGCATCCGCCGCGCCTCGCCCGTTCAGGCCAGGGCCGTGGCGATCCAAGGCTAGGGCGGCACCGTATGCCAATGCCAACCATTTGCGCCGTGCTGCCGCCATGCTTGCTCCAGCATGTCACGCAATCGCCCCCCTCAACTTAATGGCAGCGATAGCCCCCCAAAGTAACGGGAGACACCTGCGCGCGCCCCCACCACACTCTGGGCACGCGCGACTGCCGGCGTAGACCCCGAACAAAGGGGAAAGGCATTGCGGGGCAGGGTGCCGGCCGAGCTTCTGCCTGGCCACCAGATGGCACGCATCCGCAGCATCAGCATCAGCATCAGCATCAGCATCAGCATCAGCCTCAGCCTCAGCCTCAGCCTCATCCTCATCATCCCCATCCTCCTCCTCCTCCTGCTCCTGCTCCTGCTCCTCCTCCTCCTCCTCCTCCTCCTCCTCCTCATCATCATCATCATCCTCATCCTCATCCTCATCCTCATCCTCATCCTCATCCTCATCCTCATCCTCATCCTCATCATCAGCATCATCATCATCATCATCATCATCATCATCATCACCATCATCATCACCATCCATCACCATCATCATCCGCATCATCATCGGCAAGAAAATGCTTGTGCGCTATCGCATTCTTGTCACGACATGCCCAGCTTGCTCAACGGACTTTTTCACGCGCCCTCGCGCGCTCCACCACCCCCAATTCGCCAGCAAACAATGCCGGGCCAGGATGATCCAGGGAGATCTTCCGGCCTTTTCCGCCTCCCAGGTCGCCGAAGCCGACAGGGCCGACGCGGCTTCCAATCGCGGCCGCACGGCGCGTGGCGAAACGCGCACGCGCGCCCTGCGCCCGCCGCGCCCCGCAGGTGAGGCGTTGCCTGCCGGCGCTCCGACAAGGGGAGCAGCCGCCTAGCCCCCCCGCAATAGGGGCAGGCACATCCAGGACTTCTCCGAAATTCCTGGACTTGCCGGCCGATGTGGGGGACATGTCATCATCCCCCAGCGCCGCCTGCCGGCGCCGCCGAATCTGGCGCCCTCGGCGGGCGCCCGCAGCACTGCCTGCATCGGGCCTCCTGTTCTGCTTCTGTGCATGGCCCGGAGCCGCTCCGCATCTGTCAGCCTCCCAAATAGGGAACCGGAGGTTTTCCACCCACGCGGCGGTGTGTCCCTTCTGACTGCGCTTGCTCATCTATCCAGCGCAACCTGCCGGCCTCGCACTGCGCCGCCAGCGCTCTCGCACGCGTGCTCCAGGTTCGTATACAGCCGGCACGAATCGAAAAATAATCATCATCATCGTCATCATCATCAGCAGCATCAACATCATCCTCATCAGCAGCATCAGCATCAGCATCAGCATCAGCATCAGCATCAGCATCAGCATCAGCATCAGCATCAGCATCAGCATCAGCATCATCATCATCATCATCATCATCATCATCATCATCATCATCATCATCATGATCATCATCATATTCATCATCATCATCATCGTCATCGTCATCGTCATCGTCATCAGCATCGTCATCATAATTGTCATCATCATCATCAGCATCATCATCATGATCGCCATCAGCCTCATCATCCTCATCATCGTCATCATCGTCATCATCATCAACATCCTGATCATCCTCATCCTCATCCTCATCCTCATCCTCATCCTCATCCTATTCCTCATCAGCATCATCAACATCATCCTCATCAGCATCAGCATCAGCATCAGCATCAGCATCAGCATCATCATCATCATCATCATCATCATCATCATCATCATGATCAGCATCATCATCATTACATGAAGCGTCGTCGTCTTTGAAAGTATGTCAGAATCGCGGGCTAAAAACACGCGTCGATTACCAAACTAGCCTGCAGTCAATCGTTTCCGCCAGACAGGCTCAACAAATGCGGCTGGAGTTCCAGCGCCCGCCATGCGCAGTTTGCAGGCATTGTCAGGGGTGTTGCTTGGTGGGGCGGTGGCAACGGCTGTCACGGTCCACCTTCGTTCCGTTGCTGGACCTACTCGGTGTCTGCACCGCCGCCAGATGACACATCATCTTCGTCGTCACTGGTACTCTGCCAGGACCGTGGGTAAAGGCGACGCAATGAAACCCAACTAGCGGGAGGTCTGCTGTTTCGGCTGGGCCGACTCGGCAAACGCGGCTGGAGTGCTGGCAGGCAACTGGGGGCAATCCACAGGGTAGCCGGGAGGACTTGCTCCCCCCCTCCTCCGTCGCTCAATCCCGCGCACTTCGAGGTCCCCGCCTCGACGCGATCAACTCGAGGCGTTCACTTCGAGTGCGTCCCGCCGCGGGGGCCCAAAGGGGCGGCCCGGACTGGCTGGCCCAATCTCCTCTCTTGCCTCAGGTCGGGCGTGTTCCTCTACAGGCGGATTTTGACGACAACTTTAGAATACTCCAGAATGCTCCAACATATTCAAAAATCGTAAGAAAATCGTTCCCATACTATTTTGTGACCATTTCTGAATTTTCATCCTGTAGAGGGACAGGCCCGATTTAACTCTTGCCCCGGCTGGCCCAACCCCAAGCAGCCACTCACTGTCTATCCCTTCCCGCCTCGTTCGCGCGCTCCTCCGCCCATCCCCAAGCGGGACCGTTCACTGCCTGACCCCCCCCCTCTCATGGCACGCGGCCCCCTCATCCCCCATGCGCTTCCCTTCTTCTTTCCCCCGCCCCCATCCGGCTTCTCCACTGCGCAGCCCCAATCCCCCTGCCCCCCCCCAATCTCGCTCGCCCGCTCCTCCGCCCAACCCCCAACGAGCCCACCGCACTGACTCTGCTTGTCCCCTTTGTTGGGCGAGCGCTGTCACCAGCGTGGGCCCCGATCAATGGGGAAAGGCACTGCGGAGAGTTGAAAGCCAGCCGCGCTTCTGCCCGGCAGCCAAGGCGGCACGCATCATCACCGCCTGCAACGCCATCGTCTCTGAAATTATGCCAGGTCTGTGAGCAGAAGCTACGCGTTGCGTACCCAGCTAGCCTGCGGCCCGTTATTTCGGCCAGACAACCTCAGCAAACGCGGCTGGAATTCCAGCACTCGCCGTGCGCAATGTGCAAGCAGCGTCCGGGGTCCAACTTCCTGGGCGGTGGCAAAGGCAATCACGGACCACGTTCATTCCGCTACCTAGCCTACTCAGCATCTGCGCTGCCACCAGATGACAGATCATCTTCGTCGTCACTGGCACCCTGCGGGGACTGTGGGCGATGGCCACATGCAGTGCATGCCCAACTGGCCTGCGGCCCGCTGGTTCGGCCAGACCGACTCGGCAAACACGGCTGGAGTGCTGGCAGGACACTAAGGACAGTCCATGGGGCAGATTTACCCCCCTCCTCCCTCAATCCCGCCCCAATCTGCCTTCCGCTTTATCACGGCCATTGTTCCGCTGCAAAGCCTACTCGGCAACTACGCTGCAACCGGATGGTACATCACCTTCGTCGTCACTGGTACTCTGCTGGGGCTTTGGATTAAGGAGACCCAGGCATAATTACCCAACTTTCCTGCGGCCCGTTGACTCGGCAAGAGTGACTCAACAATCACAGCGGGGCTCTTGGCATTCGCACCGCCGCACCTGTTAGGCTATGACTCAGGTATCCGAGGAGCTGGGCGGATCGTCTGCCAGGGTCAAACATTAGGGCTGCGGTGCCAATCTTACTCGTGCATTATAATCGAGGGCCTTGCCGGTACTGTATTTAGCGGGAGTACGGGTATGGAGGGTGGGGCCATCTAGCCCTCCGCAGCGATAGCGGTGTGAGCCATTCATAGCGTATATGTGTCCCAGCGCGGACCACGATCCGTGGGGTAGTGCAGCGTGGAGATGGAGCGGGGTCGCCCCGGACAATTTCTTAACATCAACGCCCGCAGAGATTGTCTGGGTCCAATTGCGCGCGCCTCCTCTCCACTCTCTCTCTGTAGCGTCCTCCTCCAGCGTCCTCCCCCCTGCTCCTTCCCCTCCTCCTCCGCCTCTTCCCCGGCCCCTTTCAGCCTTCTCGTCTGCGCAACCCCAATCCCCCCTTCCCGTCCGTCCTCGCTTGCCTGCCCATCCGCCCACCCCCCAGCAAGCCCGCTCCGCTGACTCTGCTGTCCCCCACTTCTTGGGTACGTACTGTGGAGGAGGGTGCAAGCCGCGCTTCCGTCCGGCCGCCGAATGGCACGCAACATCATCACCTGCAGCGTCATCGCAACAGGAATGTTGCAGGGACTATAGGCTAAAATTCCGCATTACATGCCCAGCTGGCCTGCGGCCCGTTGTTTCGGCCGTGCTCAGTTTGAAATATCCATCTCGAGGCGTTCGCTTCGAAAACTTCCCACCTCATGGACACTTGAATGCGATGTCGGCTCCGTGGCCGCCGTCGCACTGCCCCCAATGGCTTCGCCCGCTAAGCCCCGCTGCACCGCCGCTGTGCCTCCATGGCAGCAGGGTGTCCGCGGTGAGGCCCAAGAGGGCAGCCCAACCCGGCTGGCCCAACCTCCTATCCTGCCCCTGCTGGCCCAACCCCACGCAGCCACTGATTGTCTATCCCTCCCCACCTCGTCCACGCGCTCCTCAGCCCATCCCTATGCGGGACCGTTTGCAACCTTCCCCCTCCCCCTCCAATGGTGCGCGATCCCCTTTTCCCCAATGAGCTTCACTTCCGCTCTCCCAACCTCCCCCGCCTTCTTCTCTTGGCAGCCCCCACTTCCTTCCCGCCTCGCTCGCCCGCTTCCCCGCCCACCTCCCAGCAGGCCCGCTCCGCGGACTATGCATTTCCACTTTCTTGGGTACGCGCTGCTACCAGCTTGGGCCCCGAACAATGGGGAAAAACAGGGTGCCAGCCGAGCCTCTGCCCTGCCACCAGGTAGCACACATCATGATGACCTGCAGCGTCATCGTCTCTGCAATTATGTCAAGACTGCGGGCAAAGCCTACACATTCCGTACCCAGCCAGCCTGCGGTCCGTTGATTCGGCCAGGCCGCCTCAACAATCACGGCTGGAGTTCCAGCATCCGCTATGCGCGGTTTGTGAACACTTTCGGGGGTCCAGCTTGGTGGGGTGGTGGCAACGGTTGTCACGGCCCACCTTCGTTCCGCCGCTTCGCCTACTCAATATCTGCACTGCCACCAGATGGAACACCATTTTCGTCGTTACTGGCACTCTGCCAGGACTGCTGATTAAGGCCGTGCAACGCATGCAGTACGCAACTAGCCTATGGTGCAGGGCGCCACTCTTGCACAGTCCTAGTCGTAGTGTGTGTTGCTAGCCAGGGTGCGCCCTGGCTAGCAGCAAACAGCTACAAGCTGCGAGTTGGGGTTTCCCCAGGGGACAGGTGTTCTCCTTTGGAAATCCCTCCTCGGCACAGGGACTGTTCAAAGGCGGCCCGCTCGCAGACCTGACAGTTTGGTCAGTGAGCCTCCTCCTCCTCCGTGTCACCAACGTCCTCCCCCTCCCCTCCTCATCCTCCTCCTCCTCCTCCTCTCCTCCTCCTCCTCCCCCTCCTCATCAGCAGCAGCAGTATCACCATACCAGCATCCCCAACAGCGACATCTTCATACGATCATCATGACCAGCATCACCACCACCATCATAACCATCAGTATCATCATACTCTGCAGCAGCAGCCGCAGCATCATGATCATCTGCATCCTCATCGTCGCCAACATCGAGCATCATCATCATCAGCATCAACATCATCCTCATCCTCATCATCATCAGAGTCATCGGCATCGTCATCGTCATCGTCATCGTCATCAGCATCATCATCAGCATCAGCATCGTCGTCGTCATCATCATCCTCATCCTCCTCCTCCTCCTCCTCCTCATCATCATCATCATCATCAGCATCATCATCATCATCACACTCATCATCGTCGTCATCATTACAATCGTCATTGTCAGCAGCATCAGTATCAACATAGACACTGCATCGTCATCAGCATCATCAGTGTCATCGTTGTCGTCGTCAGAATCATCACTAGCATCACCATCCTCAGCAGCATCGATATCACCATCATCACCAATATCATCAGCAACATCAGCATCAGTATAGGCATCAAGCTCAAGAGCAACATCTCCATCACCATCATAATCACCATTACAATCATCCATCATCACCCCTCCCCCCACACCCTCATCCTCCTCCTCCTCCTCCTCCTCCTACTCCCCCATCTCATCATCATCATCATCATCAACATCATCATCATCAGCACCATCAGCATAATCATCAACATCATCAGCATAACCAACATTAGCATCACCATCATCATCAGCATTATCATCATCATCATCATCATCATCATCATCATCAACAACATTATCAACATTATCAACATCATCATCCTCATCGTCGTCATCATCATGATATAACTGGTATCATCTGTCAATCCTCATCATTGCATCTGCCATTTAGGAGAAGGAGAATCAGAGAGGATAATTGTGGAGGAGGAAGAAGAGCATGAGAGTGAAGGTCGCCTCCTCGCCCCCTCGCATTCTTGCTAGTGGACACGCTCGTCCGCACGATGGAAGCTTCGCAATCCATCCCCAACCCGTAGGAGCAGGAAAACGGAAAGTATAATAGAGAATGGGAGGGTCGGAACGGACGACAGAAACGAAGGCCCTGACATCCTTGCAAGGTGGAAGACAATCACGAAGGAACTTGTTCTTGCCATCTTCGGCATCGGGGGGCCTCATCTGGCCCCCGGACCGTAAGAAAAAAACTAAGGATTGGAAAGCCGATCCCAGGGAACGAGTCGAACACTCTGGGGAGCCATGCTGTGAACAACGTGTTTCGGAGGAGAGCGTCCGGCGGCGATGCCGAAACCAGCTGCATCATCCCCCTTTCCTAATCTCCCCTTTCTTTGGACGCCCGATCTGGGTACGGAAACACTGTGTACGATGCCCGACAACAACTGTTTGTCCAAAACCGACAGCTGTTGTGCATGCACTCTTCTGCCTCGAGTGGACAACGACCGCGGCGACAACGACAGCGAGCCCTGCTCAAAATGAACAGGAACTGCTGTCGGTCTCTGCACACGTTCTTTCGGTACACGTTTTGATCGTCCCCCCATTTCGTCCAACCCGACTGATCCTCGTCGCCTATTTTCGGTCGGGAATCTATTGCCCCCTCGTCAGTCAGGCGTTGCAGGATCCTGCAAGATCCTGCAGGATCCTGAAGAATCCTGCACCCAATCCTGGGTCAGTGCACCCTTGGCTCTGGAAGATCCTGCAAGATTCGGCGCTCTGGCTGACCCCCGTTTGCACCGATCCGGTCCACAACTCGTGTCTCCGGCGGCCGCTCGGGACGATGCGGGCACCCCCGGGGAACGATCCGGGCGAGGCGCACCTCCCGAACCCGAAAAGCGGAGCACGTCCAATAATTACCCAGACATTCAACGTCGTGATTTTTGCACAGCGTGGCCCCCCGAAGTCTGGACCCCTTCTTGGGGACCGCGTTCTCATCCCGAGTCGCACTTCGACGGCCCGGGGCTCGGTGAGGGCCCCCAGAGGCCGACAAATGCGCCCGTCGTAGTCTGTTCACGACGCGAGCATGTCTGGGTATGCCTCCAGCTTCCGCTGCCCCGGGCGCCGCTTGATGTCCTCCTCCTGGTCCGCCGGGATGCCCGGCAGGCCCCGTTGCCGCGCGTCGGCCTCGGCCTTCCTCCGTCGCTCGCGCCCAATGGTGTGGAGGAAGACCTCGAACATGCGAGCGACGCAGGCGAGCGGCTCTGGCTCGCGCAGTTACAGAAGCAAGACACGGCACAGGCGTAAACTTCTGGAGAGCCGCGCGGAATTCTTGGGTCGGCGCTGGACCCCACGTCCCTGGTGCGCGGATCGCGCCAGGTGCGGCGCCCGGGGCGCCGCCACGGGACGGTTCAACGCCGATCCGAGAACTCCGCGCGGATCCGACAACTTATGCTGGATTCCTCCTCTCCGAGATCGGCGACCTCAGGCTATCATGGATCCCGCCCCTTCAACGCGATCCGAAAACTCCGCGCGGATTCCTCCTCTTCGGGATCGGCGACCTCATGCCGTGGCTCGGCGCTCCCGCCCGGGGCCCCCGGGACCCTGGGCCCCAGCGCGGGCGCGTGGTGCGTCCGCGTGGACAGCGAACGGAAAGCGAGAGGAAGCAACAGCTAGCCTCAAAGGCGGCGTGCCCACGCGGAGACGATGGCGCCCGCACGCGCGACCCCCACGCGGGCGGCTCGTGCGCGAGTGCCCTCGCATCGACCTTAGGCAGACATGGCCCTGTCGCAAGAGTGACCTTCGGCGCGCGGCTGGCCTGCGCGCTCGCAGCCTGCCCCACACCCCGCGCGCCCCCCAAAGTCCGCGAACCAAGACGCACCCTGGCGAACGGCCACTGCTCTTACGCGGGGGTCCACTGACCCGGGTCCATCCAGACCCGGGTCAGCCAGCCTCTGCAGGATCCTGCGCCCTAGCCTGGGTCAATGCACCCCTGGCTCCCTGGGTGCGAATTAAGCGGGGGGCGATCAATGGGGGGGGGAGAAAAATGCCTCTTCCGGGGCCCAAAGGCCCCCTTCCGGGCCCTCGAGGGCCCCCTTCCAGGGCCCTCGAGGGGCACGTCTTCGGCAGCCCTCGCTGGCCCCCAAATTCATCGCTCCTCTTTCCTGCCGCCAAAACTGCAGGATCCTACAAGGTCCAGCGCTCTGACCGATCACCGTTTGCACGGACCCCCGCCTCCGAGGCCCGCCTGGCGTGCAGTCGACCGCGGCCGGCCCCCGTTCCCTGCGTCGCCCCTGTGGCTGTAGCACGGGTGGCCCAGACCGCCAGGAGGCCAGACGAGCAGACAGCAAAAAATAATCAGCCCTGCACGCCAGTGCACGGCTGCTCCGCCACCACCGCCAGACCCCCCACACGTCGTCCCTCCTTGTTCCTCCTCCTCCTCGTCCTCCTCCTCCTCGCTCCTTCTCCCTCCCTCGCCCCCCCTGCTCCTTCCCTACCTCCTCCTCCTCCTCCTCCTCCTCCTCCTCCTCCTGCTCCTGCTCCTCCTCCTCCTCCTCCTCTTCTCCTCCTCCTCCTCCTGCCCCTCCTCCTCCTCCTCCTCTCCTCCTCCTCCTCCTCTTCCTCCTCCTCCTCCTCCTCCTCCTCCTCCTCCTTCTCCTTCTCCTCCTCCTCCTCCTCATCAGCATCATCACAGTCTTCTGCTCCTCCTCCTCCCTCTGCTTCTCCTCCTCCTCTTCCTCCTCCTCCTCCACCTCCCCGTCCTCATCCTCCTCCTCCCCTCCTCCTCCTCCTCCTCCTCCTCCTCCTCCTCCTCCTCGTCCTCCTCCTCGTCCTCCTCCTCGTCCTCCTCCTCCCCCGGAACTACCAAGTGCTTCTCGCGCGCTGAGGCAAGGTCCTGGCGGAGGAACAATGCGCAGACGCCCGACCCAAGCGTCGAGATGGCTGTATCACTCCTCCCAAAGACCGTCTTCGCATCCCAAATAATGTTGTACGTGTGGCGGTCCTGGAGCCGGGCCAGAGACCCAGGGAGCCGAAAACTGTCAACCAAAACTAGTCGGCGAGGCCCGTCACTTTGGATAGTGAGGATTTGTGCAGTGGAAGTGTCAGTCCTATTATTGATATATGTATGGATATATAAAAATAAACACGACAACCTATACACACACACATTAAAACCATCGCGCGCTTCGCGCGCGCTCAAGTTCTAGCTTCGGCTAACTCATGTAATCTCATGTTGGTCGCTTCTTGCGTCCAGGAACTCCCTTGGAGGCCCTGCGCAAGCCTCGGAATCGTATAGAAGGGGAAGTGCGGAAGCGCAGACATCATTCATTTCCTTTCGGTCATCAACGATCTGGGGCCCTCAAAGGCTTCCTGGGTTCTTTTTTGGGAGGTGAGGGGGGTCTGAATGGTGGTCTGTTGTGCAAGAGTGGACCGGGGACCAAATTTTGAAAAAAGAAAGAATTGTGGGATTTCTATTTTTTTCCAATTCCTCGGCGCTGTTCGGCGCTGTTTGTTGTTTGTGCCTCGCGGGTTTTGTTAGCCAGGCCCCTCGGGGGTGTGGGATCTTCCGGACCCCCTGGGCGTTCTGGAGGCCTCCTGGAGGCCAGGAGAGCCGTCGGAAAGGTGTCTCGGGCTGCGCGGGAGCGTGTTGGGCCGTTCTTTACGTTCTGGGGGCTCCTTGGGGTCGTCTTGGGCTGTCCTTGGGCGTCTTTGGGTGCCCCCGGGAAGCCGGGAGGCGCGGTACCGGCCAGATGTCAGGGGATGTGTGGGATCTCCCGAGTAGGAGTCCCACTTCGAAAAAAAAGAAATTCTGGGAATTCCCTTTGTATTTTTTTCCCAAATCATTTTTTCGAGTGTTGGAAGCGGGAAAACGTGAGAAGGCGAAATACATTAGAAAAAACATTGGAAATCAACGATTTCTTGGGGCTCTCTCGGGACGGCTCTCGCAGCTCTCTTGGGCTGTTCTTGGAGCCACGTCGGGGTCTTTCTGGGGCCTCTCAAGGATCGGGGGTGTGTCGGGGGCCTCTGGGTGGGGTTCCGGAGGCCTCTCGGAGGCCTCTGAAGCCTCCTGCTCCCGCTCTTGGGCCCATCTTGGGCCTGTTCTGGGGTGGTCTGCGGCTGTCCTGGGCGCCTCTTCGGCAGTCTTGGAGCCTTCTTGGCCAGTCTTGGGGCCGTCCTGAGGTTGGGTGGTCTTGGGGCGGTCTTGGGAGCCTCTTCGGCGCTCTTGGACCGTTGGAAGCTCGAAAACGCGAGAAACCAAAACCATTGAACAAGACAAATGTAAATCCACGATTTTGGTCTCTTCGGGCCGCCCCGGGACACCTCTCGGACCTCTCTTCGGGACTCTTGGAGGCCACCTGGGAGCCTCGAGAGCCGTCGGAAGGCTGACTTGGGCTGGCATGCTGGGGGCTCCTGGAAGGCGTCTTGGGCCCTCCTGGAGCGCTGTGGAGGCTCTCCAGAAAGGCCGGGGGATAAGTAACTACCAGGAGCGCTCCCGAGATGTGGCGGGGAGGTGTGGACCCGGGGCCAGTGGGGCGGTATGTATTATCGATATATATATATATATATGTATATATATATATATGTGCGTATATGTGTATAGATTGTTATATTGCACACACACATATATATGTATATATATATATATATATATATATCCGCCGATCCGGCGTGTGAGTTTCAAGGAGTCTCAGCTACAGCCTCGAGGCTGAGACTCAGCCTCTGGGGGGGTTGCTGGGGTGGCTCTGCCGGGGAAGGGGGGGTGGGGGGGGGGGGGGGCGAGTTTCTGGCGGATGCGTTTGTTGACACCCCACACAAGGATCGTGGCCTCCGAGGGGTTCCGAACTCGAGTACCACCCCTCCCGCACCAAGATGCTCCGAGGAGGCCTCCAAGAGGCCCCAAGGGGCGCAGAAGAGGCCCCCAAGAAGCCCCAAGAGGCTCCCAAGAGACCCCCAAGAGGCCCTCTAGTGGCCCCAAGAGGCCCAAGAGGCCCCCAAGAAGCCCCAAGAGGCGCCCAAGAGACCCCCAGAAGTCACAGCCAACCACGAGATCCCAACCAGCATCCATGAGGCCTCTGATCCACCACCCACGCACGGTGGCGGGATAGGCCGACGGCCACTGGATAAATGCTGAGTGAGAGGAGGGGAGGGAGAAAGAGAGGAGGGACGAGGGCGAAGAAGGATCACATCAGTCGGAGCGCCCCGGATCGGCGGCACTGGCCGAAGGCCACTACAATATATATATATATATATATATATATATATATATGTGTATATATATATATATATATAGTATCGTAGGCTTTATGTGCCAGTGTGCTCTTCGGCCCTCCCGAATCGTGGCACAGGGCCGCCAGCAGCACGCAGACGGCCTCGCGGTCGGTCACGCCGAGCTCCGGCTGCCGGTGCCGCAGGCCCTTGATGAGCTCGTGGGCCGACGGGGCAGGCGGGCGATGCTTTGAGGGCTACGAGGGCGAGGACGGGGACCAGAGTGAGGCCAGGAGCAGAGGAATGGCAAAAGCACACATGAGAATTCGCGCTGCTCCCCCTGGCGGCGCTCCGCGCGCCAGGGAGGGGGGGGCCTGCAAATCTGCGCGGACATCCGAAAGTTTGTGCTTATGCCATGTGGAATTGTCAGAAGGAGGCATCAACGATGCTGGAATGCACCTCCTGCCCCGACCAGAGTCCCCACAAGTAGTTGCAACCAATCTTCTCCTTGAGCAGGGACCGACCGTCACAGCATTCCTATCGGCCTACCACTAAATTGTCCTAGAACCCAGCAATGTTCTTAGAACCAAAAAAAATCTTAGAATCGAATTCCGAAGGGTTAAAACAAGACAGCTTCAGACAGAAATGTTCGAGGAACTTCCGTGCAGGCCACAAAAGGTTCTTAGAACATGTTTTGATGTGCCTATAGTACAGGCAAGCCAGGACGCTTCGCCACTGCTTGATTTTCGCTGCTGCAGGGGCGATCCTTGAAAGCCACGCGCCTCGAGGGCCTGCAACAGGAACTACGAAGAGGTCATACCACCAGCCCTCTGGGAGCCGGTGGTTCAGCGGGCCCACTCTTCCAACACCACTCCTTCCCCTTCGGGGAGGGGTCCACCTCTTCTCCTCATGAATCAGCGCCCCCTCCGCCCTTCGACGAGCTGCCAGCCAGGAACATTGAGCCCCTCCGGACAGCAGTACGAAGTGCACGTGGCGGCACCATCCGCCGACCCTCGGCGTGCGAGACTGTTGCCCTCCCCAAACCCTTCCCCTGGGAGCCCCGTGGGAGCCCGGCCTGGCCAGTGTGGAGGGGGGCCCGGGGGGGTAACCTGGCCGGGCCGGGTGCCTCATCCCTCCCAGAAGTGCTTCTGGACGGTCCCGGACGGCCTCGAGATGGGCGCCCGAGGCTCCGAGGTGCCCCTAACATGGCCTCCGCATGACCCCAGACGGCACCAAGACGACCCAAGATGGCCTCAAGACAACCCCAGAAGCTTCCAACACGCTCCCAGAGAGCCACAAGAGGACCCGCAGAGGGCCCCAACGAACAACAAATCGCCCCATTCCCTCCGGAAGGCTCACGTTATCAATCTATCCACCACGTCCAAGACGGCCTCTGAGGCATCTTAGATCGGCCGTTTGGGTTGTCAACGCGTCCAAGACGGCCTCCGGGGCATCCTAGATCGCCCCAAGACGGCCCAAGAGGCCCCCAAGAGGGCCCCAAGACGGCTCCACACGGCCCCAAGACGGCCTACGAGGCCTCCCAGAGAGCTCGAGAGGACCCCAGGAATGGCCCGAAACATCCCAAGATGGCCCCAAGACGGTCCCAGAGGGGCCCAAGACAGCCCGCGACGGCCCCAAATGCGCCTCTGACGACCCAGGAGGGCGCCGAAAGACAACCAAGAAGCTCGAAAGAGCGCCCGAAGGCATCCAAACGGTCGCCAGAAAGCTTCCAAAGGCCTCCGGTGTCTGCTCTCTGGGCGGCGTCGACGTCGGACCCACAATGGTGCACGTCAACAACTCCGCCAAGGCGCCCCCTGGCAAGCTGGATATGGTAGGACGCAGCGTACTATCTGGAATGTTTCCTGCAAGTCGCCCTCGCTCCTCCTCCTCCTCCTCCTCCTCCTCCTCCTCCTCCTCCCCCTCTTCCTCCTCATCCACCTCCTCCTCTCCTCCACCTAAGCATCCCCCCTCCCCATCATCCTCCCTCCACCTCAATCGTCCTCCCTCCTGCAATTCATCCCACTCAACTTCCGCCCTATCCCAACCTTTCTGGAGCCTCTGAAGCTCGTCGCCGCCACAAAATGAGGAAGGAAGAACACGTCCCGCAATCCACTAGCCCCCTGAGACCCATCGGCGTGTTAGAAACCCAAGAAGAGCCCCAAGAAGCGAACATCCAGAAATTACAGAAAAGCGTACGATTACAATACGTTCCCCCCTTTGGTGTTATCCGCGTGCACGGTGGCCCGAGCTGCCCCAGATCGCTCCAAGGAGTCGGCGGATGGGGCGTGAGCCTAAAGAAGCTGGATCAAGGGCAGGTGCCTTGCAATCACTTCGCATGTGTTGTTGACAGAGATGCCAGGGGCTGCGATGCGGGTACGCACAGCAAACACATACACCATGCTGACTACAATGCCACCAGTCCGCAATTGTTTTTGACGGGGTTGGTGAGGAATGTTCACCTGTTACCCGATAGCCACCTGGAGCCGCATGGCGCACTCTACGAACGTCGCGCACTTGGCGCACCCGGCGTTGCTGGAGGACGTGGTACAGTTGGCGCGCGTGGCGCATCTGGCGCACCGGGTGCAACTTGCACGCTTGGGCCCCTGGGTCACCACCTCGCGAGCGTCGTACAACTGGCGTGTGTACTGGTTCGCGGTGGCTGTCCATCATAGCAACCTGTGCCCATTCTGAATATTTGGTGCTGCTTATATGGTGGGAGGGAGGGTGGAAGTGAGTGAGACAGCTAGTGGCACACCCATGGGGATCTTGACATACACCCCTGACCCCTCTTCTGGGTTTTGAGCGGGGGGGGAGGCGGGGGGGGGGGGGGGCAGTCCATTTGTGCTCAATGTGGCTCCAAGGTGGGCCTCAGAATCACAAGATGGTCTCCAAGATATTGCAAGATGGTCCACGTTAGATCAAGCTGGCGTCTGACAAGACGCTTCCAAGCTGGCCCCAGGGAGCTTCGAAGCCGCAGAAGAATGCTCCCAAGACGCCACACTCCTTCAACAGCCTACAATGTTTCAACGACGTGAGCTGCTCGCACGTTCGCTTATGATGGCCTTCTAACGCCTCGAGGTGCCCCCCTCGAATGCCCGCAGCACGATCCAATAGGGGCCCAGTCGGGCTCCAAGAGGGCGCCGAAGACCGCCAGGAACGCCCCTAAGAGCGTCACAGTATGGCCCCACAAGGCGATTGTTCTGTTTGAGGGACGTTCTCCAAGATGGCCCTAAGAGAGACCCAAAACCCCGCCAAGCTGGCCCTCCTCCTCCTCCTCCTCCTCTTCCTCCTCCTCCTCCTCCTCCTCCCCCTCGTCCCCCGAGAACTCATCGATGGCCAGGGGGAGCGACTGCATTGGTGCTGACCACTGGTTTCTTCGCTCCTCTCCGCTCCTAAGGACGAGCCCAAAAGTCATCTAAAAAAACCGCAGCGGCATCCATTACGGGAGGCCGTCCAAGTTACAGGAGAGGTTCCGACAAGGGAGCGTGGCAGAGACGTGGCTGTCCCGCCTCTTTCTTTCACTGCACGTGCCTGTGTGTGTCCTCTCGTGCTCCACCTGCTCACCATCCTCGTCCTCATTCCCCTCCTTCTCCTCCTCTAAGTCACCTCCTCCTACTCATGTCACCTCCTCGTCTCTCCCACGGCAGAGTATCGGATCAGTTCGAGCTCAATGTTTGCAGCAGGCCAACATCAAACGAGCAGACATTGACTGGTTGGCTCCAGGGGTCTCCGAAGAGGCCGCTGCACGAGACTACGAGAAGCCCATCTAGCTTATACAGAACGAGCACATGAAAGTGATACGTCCCTGGACCTGGATACTCCCCTGAGATTCGTTTCTGGACTGGTTTGTGGGGATACGCGACGCGTCTATTTGGGAATTGTCCAACGGTCGCCACATGTTGACTGACATTGAGCAATAGCCGCCCTCCATCCGCGCGACTGTTCAACCATGTGAAACCTCTGCGTGTGAAATATGGAGTACCCTGCGAGGGGGAACAAGTGTTTGGGATCAAGGAACAAACTACACCATCCCACCTACGGCCCCACGGGGCTTAGCGTATACCCTGAGATCTGGGGTCGATGTTTGTGTGGTATACGCTGCGGCGCCCGATGGGCCGTAGGGCAGCATGGCGGGCCGTAGGTGGGGTGGTGTCGATTGTTTGCGTGGTCGAAATTTGACATCCGTGTTATATTATGGTTGCGAACTGGTAAGACGTGTGCGCGCAGCGCTGAGACGCGAATAAGAACTCGAACACCACCCTTCATCCATCCAGCGAGTGTGCGCGGAACTAGAGCGCATACCTCGTCGAAACTTCTGAAACATGCTGAAACCCGACCGCCCTCCAGCCGTGTAAAGTTGTGGATTTCAAACTTCGCCCATCGTGAGGGAGACTCAGGCGCGAAATTGCAGTCCGCCGAACGGGGACACAACAACCACGCCAACAACCACATCCGTACATATCAACGATATATACATAAGGATGAAAGAAACAATCACGTTGGCATGGGGAACAAAGAGCGCACTCGTGTGAAACAAAACACAAGAGAATACAGCCACGCGGGGAATCGCACATGGACAAATCAAGTTCTGCATGGAAGAAACATCGGGCTTCGCGTGGAAAACCAGCAAACGTGCCCATCTTCAAGACGGACATATCCGCCGGCCCCCTTGTGGGGCCACCAGGCTGCGAGGCACGGGTTCGCAGTTTCCAGTACCAGTTGTAGCTTGTAATCTCCAGTGTTACAGTTCTGCTTCTTGCTGTTTACTGTAACTATTTGATTGACCGCGCGAGGGGGGGGAGGCCCAAACGGGATTTCTAGCACACGGGATTTGCCACATTTCTGAAATTCAGTGCCACCCCTCACGCACATCCGCGGGGTCAGGGTCCAAAAACACAGGTGATGTGCTACATTTCTGAAATTCGGTGCCACCCCTCACGCAGATCCGCGGGGTCAGGGTCCAAAAACACAGGGGATTTGCCACATTTCTGAAATTCGGTGCCACCCCTCACGCAGATCCGCGGGGTCAGGGTCCAAAAACACAGGGGATTTGCCACATTTCTGAAATTCGGTGCCACCCCTCACGCACATCCGCAAGGCGGGTCCAACCAAACTTTCTGAGGTACTCCCTCACGGCAAGGCAAGGTGTGGTAACCAAGCTCGTAAACCATACACGTCTTACCAATCGCCCTGTGAGGTAACCCCTCTTGTGATCAGTTGGTTTTGCCGATTGCGAATCGGCCTCGCATGAAGTTCCGATACTGCTGCACGACAGCGCCAAGGCCTCATGACTTAGCTCTTCCATGGCCCATTCTCCGAGAGAGGGGGCCGGCGGCAGGGGGCGAAGCCCTCACGGATAATTTCGTGAGGGTGAGCTCATGTGGAGAAACCGAGCCCTCACGTCATGGAAGCACAGCTGCTGGTGTCTGGTGTGGTTCTTAGGCTCCTGCACGTCTGGTGGTGCGGCGAGGAGCTCTCCAACAGGGCAAGGGACGGCGGACGAGGAGGAGCGGGAAGAGGATCGGGAGAACGAGGAAGACGAGGGCCAAGAAAGCCGTGCCGATGCTGTGGAAGAAGCGCGTGTGCACGGCTCCGGGGTACACGTAGTGGCAGATGCCCAGCTGCTTGATCTGCCTCATCCGCTGAAAGATGTTCGTGTCCACCACCGCCTTCACGATGGCGGGAAGGTGCATCAACCCGTGCACTGGGTCGTTCGGGGTGAAGGTCTCCTGCAGCGCCGGAGGCACTGGCCTCCTGGCGGCATCCAGCAGCGCGGCCTGCACCCTGGCCTGCAGCTCCTCCTCTTTGGACCCCAAATGGGTACAAGGAAAGACGGGTACGCTTCCCAACCGCAAGTGTTGTCCGAAATCGACAGCGGCCGCTGCTGGGCAGGCGGCCTTCTGTCTCAAATGGACAACGCCCGCGGCGGTGCGGACAGCGAATCTTGCTCAAAACGAGCAAAAACTGCTGTGAGAGCATCATACCCAATCTTTCCGTATCAATTTTGATCGTGCCGATCCTCCGTGAGGGTTATCGTCTTCCTGGCCCGCTTGGCACTTCCATCCTCTGCGGGATCCCCCTCTCGGCCCTCCATCGAAGGGCCCCTGCGCGCAGGCGCGTGCTCTCGAGCCCCCGTGGCTCACCATGTGCTTCTTGTGTGTCTGCCCTGCGCCACTCTCGAGCACACTAAAGGGGCCCAGGGACACGCAAATAAATAGACACAAGTCCAAAGATTCCCCATATGTTTCAATATGTTCTGGAGGTTCGTCTTCCCTCTCACTTGTCAAATGTTCCATAGTTTCTCGGGAATCGACGTTCGCACGTGCTTGTGTTTTTTCCGCCCTGGCACACGTGACCGTCAGCGTCAGCGACGACGGTCAGGGCACTCGAAAGCGGGGGTCACTCCATGAGGCTGCTGATGTCGCTGTAAGAAATCCTTGCATGTCCCTACTTGGGCGCCCCTGTTACCCAGGGTAACACGCGTCCGGGGTAACTCGGGCTTGGACTCCCGGAACACGAACCCGAATTAGCCCTAGCTCCCCCTGATGATTCGGGGCTCTTGACGCCGGATTATCAGGGGTAGCCTGGGTCCAGGGTAACTCGGGTTCGGAATCCCGAAAAACGAACCCGAGTTAGCCCTGACCCGAGTTAGAGCGCGTTGCTGCATTTTCGGCGATAGTGGGCATAATAGGGGGGGGAGGGGCCATGCGGGCTTTAGTATAACGCCTCCCCCCGCCGTGCGCACGGCGGCAGTGCCTGGGGCGCTCTGGGGGGCGAGGGGCGTTACGTTATTGGGGGGGAAGGGGGGGCCGGGGGCTATGATGCCCATTTGCCAAGCAATCAAGAACACGCTGTTACCCTAGATGATTCATTCGGGGCTCTGACATACACTCTTGGAGGACCGCGCGGGCCCACCCGGGCGGCGCATGCAGCGCCGCCCGCTGGCACGCACAGGCGAGGGGTGTCCAGCGCCGACGCATGGAAGTCCGCGCGGACCTCCGCAGACGCACGTGTACGTAAATCAGCTGTTGGCGTATCCTTTTCTTCTTCGCATGTTGATGTGTCTTTGTTCTTCTTCGCGTGACGATTCGGACCTCCGAACATGCATGCTGACGTGTCTTTGTTCTTCGAGCCCACAAAAGACGTGCGCGCCAAACTATGCACATGAACGCGGCCCCTCGATCCGCGAGACCGGCCGCGTGATACGAAAACTCGCGCAATGTGTTCTCTCGAGACCAGCGTGGATTCATGTACGTGTGCGTCCTTCGTTCGCTCCTAACTGTTCTTCGATTCGGGAAATCAGCCAGACCTCCGAACGTGTACAGTAAGGGCCCGACCACAAGAGACCTTCCACAAGAAACCCAATTTTGAGACCCCAAGGCGTCCACTGATTTTTGGTGCGGGAACGTCACGCTTTCCATCGCAAAACCATCGAAACCCAAGAAACCAGGGCACCCTGGAGGCAAGCAGGGTGTTTCTTGGGATGGGCCTCCGCTGTATGTTTATGTGTCTTTCTTTTTCTTTTTCGAATTTGGAACAAACCAAATCGGATGATACACGTCGTGGATCCCTGAAACTATGAAGCAACCCACGCCCCGCCAACCACCATGTGGGATCACGGAATGGTGGTTCAGAATTCCGGGGCCAGGTTTGGATGCTTCACCCAGATCTTGCACACCTGCACAACCTGGCGGCGAGCGCGGGGGAGAAGAGAGAAGGGGCGGGCCTTCTCAGAGAAAACTCGGATACCCCCTGGCTTTCTGAGAAGTTTCCCCCGGTCTTCCCCGAAGACGCAAAAAAACAAACCTTCAGACGGCGCGGGGGATGCTGTGAGACGTCCCCTCGCTTTCTGAGAAGGCCTTCTCCTTCTCGCTTCTCCCCCGGCAACCATTGAACGCACATGGCCGACTGTCGCCGAACCCGATTCGGTGATTAAGGACCCCCCCCCCCGGTGTGACCTCAGCACCGCATGAGAAAAAATCCCGAATCCTGGAGGGACTTCACCCGAACGATCACTGTTTAGCACCGCGTTAGACAACAACACAAGCAAACACAAAAACAAATCCCGCAACCGACGGCTACACTAAGCACTGGCGGCAAGAACGCAGGGACCTTGACATCTGTTTCGGTCATTAACAAAAGCTTCACGGATTGAAGGCGGCTTGTTTTCAAAATGTGGTTCTCGCCTCAGCGTCGCGCGCATGTTTTTTGTTCTTTGCGTGTTTTTGTTATTTTTCTTTTTTATTCCCAACCCTCCTGCGTTGGGTTCTCGTTTTGAATAAGAGCACTGTTTGCGCCTTCCCGCCCCCCTCTTCCCCCCTGCCTTTGGCCTCGCTCGTCGCCATCCCTGGGGGGCTGCGATCTGCGAAACTGTCGCCACTTTCGAGGCCTGCTGGGGGGCCCAGCACAGTGTGCACTCGCGGCGGATTCAAATGGGACCTCGCCATCCCTGGGGGGCTGCGATCTGTGGAACTGTCGCCACTTTCGAGGGCTGCTGGGGGGCCCAGCACAGTGTGCACCCGCGGCGGATTCAAATGGGACCTCGCCATCCCTGGGGGGCTGCGATCTGTGAAACTGTCGCCACTTTCGAGGCCTGCCGGGGGGCCCAGCACAGTGTGCACTCGCGGGGGATTCACTCGCCATCCCTGGGGGGTTGCGATCTGTGAAACTGTCGCCACTTTCGAGGGCTGCTGGGGGGCCCAGCACAGTGTGCACTCGCGGCGGATTCAAATGGGACCTCGCCATCCCTGGGGGGCTGCGATCTGTGAAACTGTCGCCACTTTCGAGGCCTGCTGGGGGGCCCAGCACAGTGTGCACCCGCGGCGGATTCAAATGAGACCTCGCCATCCCTGGGGGGCTGCGATCTGTGAAACTGTCGCCACTTTCGAGGGCTGCTGGGGGGCCCAGCGCAGTGGGTACTCAAATGGGACCTCGCCATCCCTGGGGGGCTGCGATCTGTGAAACTGTCGCCACTTTCGAGGCCTGCTGGGGGGCCCAGCACAGTGGGCACCACGGCGGATTCAAATGGGACCTCGCCATCCCTGGGGGGCTGCGATGTGTGAAACTGTCGCCACTTTCGAGGCCTGCTGGGGGGCCCAGCACAGTGTGCACCGCGGGGATTCAAATGGGACCTCGCCATCCCTGGGGGGCTGCGATCTGTGAAACTGTCGCCACTTTCGAGGCTGCTGGGGGGCCCAGCACAGTGTGCACCCGCGGCGGATTCAAATGGGACCTCGCCATCCCTGGGGGGCTGCGATCTGTGAAACTGTCGCCACTTTCGAGGCCTGCTGGGGGGCCCAGCACAGTGGGCACCCACGGCGGATTCAAATGGGACCTCGCCATCCCTGGGGGGCTGCGATCTGTGAAACTGTCGCCACTTTCGAGGGCTGCTGGGGGGCCCAGCACAGTGGGCACCCACGGCGGATTCAAATGGGACCTCGCCATCCCTGGGGGGCTGCGATCTGTGAAACTGTCGCCACTTTCGAGGCCTGCTGGGGGGCCCAGCGCAGTGACCCACGGCGGATTCAAATGGACCTCGCCATCCCTGGGGGTCTGCGATCTGTGAAACTGTCGCCACTTTCGAGGCCTGCTGGGGGGCCCAGCACAGTGGGTACCCACGGCGGATTCAAATGGGACCTCGCCATCCCTGGGGGGCTGCGATCTGTGAAACTGTCGCCACTTTCGAGGCCTGCTGGGGGGCCCAGCACAGTGGGCTTCCCGCGCGTCTTTCTCCTGCTTTTCGTTCCCGACTCCCCATGTCCTCTGCGAGCCTGTAGTTGTCGCCCCTCGTTATTGCATGGTTCTCCTGCGCATCATTCCATCGGCGCGTGCCCCAAGTAGATTACATATCAAACAACGGATCCTGCAATTCGATTGTCCGTGCAAGTCCCGGCCAACTCCTCGTTTCCCATGACGCAAATGGGTCGGGTACGCCACAAGAACATTTTTATATAAAAAAACATATATTTTGAAAAAAATTGCGCGAGTTTCACGGGTTGAGGGCGGCCCCTTGTCAACGTGTGGTTATCGCTTTAGCGCCGCGCACATTCTGTTTAAAACGTTGCTGGGGCTTCACGGATGGAGGGCGGCTCGTTTTCAAATGTAGCTTTCACCGTAGCGCTGCACACATTCGTTGCAACGCGAGTTCCACGGATTGAGGTTCCCAGAGGTCCCCCCCCCAGCCGCGATGGCTGACTCCGTCTCTCCGCGGCCGCGGCCGCCCCGCGGCCGCCCCGCGCGGGCCGCGCACGGGCCGCGGCCCGGGTGGGCCGCGCCCCTGGGGGCCAGCCGCCCACTTCGCCACGCGCGCGCGGCAGGGGCGCGTGGAGCCGCGGTGCTGAGCGCGCCCTCCGCGATGGCCGCGGTCCACCCCGGAGATCCTCAGCACCCCGCGCGGCGCCCCCGGCACGCGCGCGCTGGGCACCCTGCACGACACGTCTTCCAGGGACGGTGGCAGTAGCTGCTTCGTCCAGGTCAGGTCCCACTGCTCGTCGTTCTGGACACAATGGTGCTGCCGTCGGCGTGCTGGTCTCGGCGGTGTTGGTCTGCGTCGCGCTGCTGCTCTCCGATGCGTTGCTGGCTGGTCGCCGCGCTGAGGAGTCGTCGCGCCTATGTCCTCCTCCTCTTCTCGTCGATTTCTTCTGTCGCCGCTGGGGCTGGAGGTGGTGCCGGGGTCTCGTCCCTTTCCGCGTCGGCACTGCATCGGCCGCGCGGCTCGTCGAGTTAGGTTGGAGCAGTCAAGTTCCGCGGGCGAGGGCCTTCAAATGCATCTCCTCGCTGACTCCCCCCATCTGCGCCCGCACGTGGACGCAGGGAGCGCTCGCCCTCCCCCTCCACGCCGATGTTCGCAGCAGGTTGTGTCCTGGGAGTGCTGCTGGTGCTGGTGCTGGACGCGGCGTCGCGCTGCTGTTGGTGCTCGACGTCGTCGTGCTGCTGTGCTGGTTGCTGTCCTTCTGTGCATGTCTCGGGCTGGGCGTCGTCGCTGGGCATGCCGGCGCTGCGCCCATCGCTGCCGTCGGGTTGGTTGTGGGTGCTGGACTCGTGCGCAGCGATGCCGAGCCAACGTGGCAGCTTGTATCTGAGGCCGTTGCACCCAGGACGCCCGTTGCATTACGTGCGCATATGTTCCGAGATATGCTCC